GTAAAAACTGCTCATCTGGCAGCGACACGGTACCACCGAATGGTAACACACAGAAGCTTTAAGAAAAAGTATCATGATTTAAAAAGTGAAGAGGTTGACTTTAAAGAAAATCGACTGTCTGAAAAATTTTGCCAGCATTTTTTTTTCCCTCCCCAAAGTATTTGCAGTATCAACTAATTCAGCTGGTAAGTTCTGTTTACTCCCAAACTACCCATTAATATATTTTCCTTTGATTTTTCCCACAGCCCTGATTACCCTTGTGTATTTTAAATAACTGAAAGCAATACATTAAAACCTAGGAATAAATACTCTTAAAAACTGGCTCAATATAATGCAACGTTCATAATTTCTCACCAAATTTCCTGTAGAGAGTGGAGTGTGCAACTGGCCTTGGCACAAATATGCTCTGCCAAGGAACTGGCTCACAGGAAATCTTCCTTTAAAATACATCTGCAGACAGTCGCTGCTCATTTCCAGATATCCCAGCTGAGACAAAAAACACATTTTAATATTCAAAAAAATGCAGCAAATAATTAAGAATTGCTAATGCATTTTAAAAATATAAATAACGCATGCCTACTCAAAGTGCAACATCTAACTGCACACCAGTACGTACATATTGCATAAAGATCATATTAGATCTGGTACAAACCCATCAGGATTTATTAAAAGTTAAAGCAAGACCTTTTGCCATTCCAGATGTACAGAAAAACAGCTCCTTTATTTACCAAAGCTCCTCAGTCACTGTCATAGAACCCCTTAGAGTATACAAAAAATACTTCCTTTTTAAATATCCATTAACAGAATTGTTACCATAAAGACAAAATTCTTAGGAGATTTTTTTTTGAAGGACAGGCATTAGCCCGCAGGATTTTGCATGGATGTCAGTGCTGCACATCATTTTTCAGGCAACGGGTAGAATTTGAGTGGCTTGCAGCTTAGAAACAAAAATAATGTTTTATTAGAAACTGTTTGCTTGAAATCCAATCACTTGTACCCATGGATTAAACATTAAAAATACCTCAACATTTAGAACCTCTACCATAATTTATAGAAGCCAGCTCAATTAGCAAATCTTTCATGATCAGAATGTCACCTTTTCTTCTTTTGCCCAGTAGGGTCTGTTCACAAACACATTTTCTTCAGTCATAAGCAAACTGCTAATTTTAGTTTTCCATAACAAGAAAAACCAGGCATGGCGAACTGTTTTATATTACTGTGGTATACCTTGCACATTTTGGTCTTATTACAAACTACACAAACCCCAGTCTGCTGACTGCTTATAAAGGAGTAATTTAGAGGCCGAGTTTTAACTGAAAATGCACATTTAAACAATCGCTCTCCAAGAACGGGAGAGAATAATACTTTTCAGAGGTACTTCTGAGAATATTGTTGAACAGTAACTTTCACAGCTGTAAATACAGCATGTCCTATAACTGGTTTTATTCAATACAAACTGCCTAAATTACAAACCTGAAGTGCTTGTTCAGCACATAAAACATATAAGTCGGTGCTGAAGTTATCTGATGAGTCAAGTGCAGATTTTCCTTGACTGGCTGATTTGATCATCTCATAAGCATTCTTCAAAGCCTGAACATCTGAAATAAAAGAGGAATAAAGAATGTAACAGGTCTTTTATGCTTCAAGGTGGACTGACAGACATGATTGCATTTCAGATCAATCATACAGCATCCTGTTTCTTCTTCACAGAAATAAGTTAAGAACCTTTAAGGGAAATAACGCCAAACGAATGTTGTTCGAAGTCAGCCACAGTTGAAAGATGAAGCATTAACAGCTCTTGCAATTTACTATCACTACCGTTACCACAGAAGAAAGCGAACTACTTTGCAGCCTGATTCACAGTTCCCTGAGCTCAGTCCCTGAACCCAACAGTACTTTCTGTGGACACTGCAACTCGAGATTTGACCCCGAAAGCTTCTTCAGAACAGAACTGCTCACTAGGGCATGTAGCAATAGAATGAGGAGTAATGATTTTAAACTAGAGAAGGGTAAATTTAGGTTGGTTATTAGAAAAAAGTTCTTCAATATGAGGGTGGTAGATCAGCAGCACAGGTTGCCCAGAGAGGTGGTGGAGGCTCCATCCCTGGAGTTATTGAAGGCCAGGCTTGATGGGGCTCTGAGCACCCTGATCTGGTACCAATGTCCCTGCTACCAGGGCTGGACTGGAACGGTTTTAAAGGTCCCTTCCAACTCAAGACATCCTGTGATTCTGTGATTAATGAAATAAACTTGACTGGAAGAAAGCCAGATTAAATTAAGAACAATATAGCAGTTACTCCTTATCATAACTAAGCACACCTAAAGCATTCAGAGAAAGAATACTTTACATACTCATATATTTAGAAACAAAGCAGACCAAGATCAAGCAGTTTCATGTTTAAAGTGCTATTTTATTTATTTTTAAAGATGGGCAAGCTTCGGCAGCCGCCTGACGCCCTCCTACCTCGGCGGCT